CAAAATCCTACAAATTCTTTCCATTTTTTAGGTAAATTTGTGTTTTGTTTTGGGGTTTCTTTGCATATCAACATTATGAATAACCTAAAATTGTTAAAGGCCAGGGGGAGAACAGTGATTCATCTTTGTGTTTAAACTTGCTCAGAAGTTTTTCGTGCTGAAATGTGATGTTACATACGCCCCACAGTTGTATTTATTATTATTACACGTGGATTTGGGTTCTTATGGCTTGTTATCGACCAAAAACAAGTGGAAAAATACACAGAAGTTACTTTAAATTGTAAAAGCCAGAGGGAGAGTAATGATTCGTTGTGTCTTCGTGCTAAAACTTGCTTGGAAGTTGAGTTTTCGTGCTCTGATGTGCAGAAATTTTACATTATTCAATTTTAAAAAAGGAGCAGTTTGAAGACCCTTGTTTGGGTTTTGTTCATGTTTGTGTGTCGTCAGTCGTAGCTCAGAAGAATAAGCGACCCTTATTTACTATCATATGATGAAGAATCGGGTTCGTATGGCTGGTTTTTGACTGATAACAAGTGGGTATAACTCACAGATTCCCTGGAGGGGGAGAGTAGTGATCTGTTGTGTGTTCAAGTTAAAACTTGCTTGGAAGTCGGGTTTTTTGCTCTGATGTGCAGAAATTTTATCTTTGCAACATCTGGACACAACTGTCTTGTTTTTATAGTTATTACTCCTAAGAATATCCACTGCTGTCATAAATACACTTGTACACAGGATTTTCCAACAGATTATCTATCTATCTATCTATCTATCTATCTATCTATCTATCTATCTATCTATCTATCTATCTATCTATCTATCTATCTATCTATCTATTAACATTAGGATATTATGTTCTTATTGCACGCTATGTATGATAGAGTTTTTATTGTGTTTATTTTTATTGTATGTTGTGCTTTATTTTGTGGAGTTGTACGGTACCACTATTACCCAAGACAAATGCTCCCTTTGGGACAACAAAGTGCATCTTATCCTAAAAAATTAAGTCACAGTTATGGATATTGTACAGTAGAGTGTCTGTTTTGATCAGTGTCATGATTTCATACTTATTCTGTCTGCCAGATTTGCTTCAGGTGAGATTCAATCATAGCAGCTGCTTACATTCGTAAACATCGAGTATGTTTAGGTATGAGAGGAGCTTAATGTCCATTCCTAACTGAACATGTACCTGAACTGTATTTTAACACCATAAAACACGGCTACAGCGCCTTCTTTGGATGTAATCTGCATGTGTATGATGTTCTGTTTTGACCTGACATTTTTTTATGCGCTCTAATGCACTGATTGAGTTTCGTTATGATGTTGTCCGCTCAGTGCAGTTGCTTATTCTGAGAACTTGAGTAAGTCTAAATTCGTATTTTAGGCTACATTATTTACAGACAGATGTAAACAAGCTCGCTCTGAAGCTGAGACTCACAAACACACAGCGTAGTGAGCAGACTGATGTTCATTAGAGCGGCCAGTAGCTCCAAGGTCGTGTACAGTATGTTTGCACAGCACTTTATAAATCTGGGAAACGCTGGGAGAGAGCTGCTGTCCTGTGTGTGTTTGCAGTAGTGAGAGAACAGGCTATTAATTATCACCCCTGATTCAGCAGCAGCAGCAGCAGCAGCAAGCTAATGTAAGAGCAACGCGACGACAACAACAACAACAAGGGTAACCTGAACACCGCTGTCTGCTTTTTTTTTTAAATCTCTTGTTTTCTACCTCCGTGAAAAAGTCAGTGTGAGAAACTGCCGTCTGACAATCGCTGGTGTTTTTTTTTGTTGTTGTTTGGCCGGTAACTCTGTTGACTCTACCAGTTGCTTTGGGAGGTTACCCAACCACCGTTTACAGACTGTTTAATACCTCAGCCCTGGAAATGTGGTTGGCTGTAAAATTTCAGGGTTTATCAGTCACTGTGGCCTGCATGTAAACAGTAGAGTTTCTGTGCTTTAATTAAACATTATCCCAAGCTTCAAAAACGCTGGTGTTTGCACGAGAAAAGGGAGCTCAGGAGTACTTTAAAATGGCCTCTAAACTCGTGGTGACGGAATAAAAATGTCCAGAATACTGAAGTCAAGCATCACTTTTCAGTTCATATTAAGTTTCAAAGTACCAGAGCTTGTAATGCAGGTATTTCTGAATATTAGTTTTCATATTCAAGGGGTTATTTTCTCAACTTTAGCCAAACTAGATGGTCTTCTCAACACTTTTCATGTGTTTTGTAACCCAACGCATGCAAACAAGTGCAAGGTGAAGTAAGAAGGTGGAAACCAATCCTCCAGCGCCGCAAAGATTTATTTTGGCTTTTTGAAGTTTGTTTACGTTGGCCTCCTCAACCCCTGAGTGTTGCCGGTGTGTGTTTATGAAGACGGTTATGTAAGGTGTGTCTCAACGGAGAGAAAATCATTAGAGCGAAGGAACGAAATGTGTAATCGCTGCTGCTGCTGCTGCTGAGGAGGTGTTTTCCAGCTAATGATGTCTTTCACATTTCCCAAAACGTATGACGGGGCAGAGCTAATATGATGAGACCGGTATTAGTCAGGGAAGAAGAGACATATCAGCGGTGACCTCCCTGATCTGAGGTCACCCCTGTGTTGATGTTATTTATATCACACGGTCGGAAATTACTCAGTTGTACGCCCTGACTCAAACAGAAACACTTCAAAGTTCTAGTTGCATTTAAAAATCCATACAACAAAATATCTTATACATGCTGGTGTTGCTGCAAATGTCAGAACTGACTATCGATCTGTCATATTAAGACATACATTAATTAAACAACACTGATCTTGCTGTAGCTCTGATTTCAGCCTTTGAGGTATTACAGCATGTTTAGGTGTTTACTGCTCCTGTCTTTTGTCTTTTGTTCACTCAGCCACGTATTGATAACAGCATGTGTTGCAACCTTTTCAGACAAACACAATGATGAGGGCGATGCGGGTCGAACGGGGTTGAACGGGGGGTCACGTGGCCCGTGATACCGACGTTAAATGTCATTTCATCGACCGGTGAAAAGCAGGAGAGGGAGTGATAGTAGGTAGCAGGATCCGGCTGCACATTTCCCAGCAAGTCCACGTTCGGATCTGGTTCTAATTGAGAGCCAGTCCTCCGTGGTACAGCCGCTATCATTACACTGACTGATGGTGTGCTTCAGAGTGCAGACCACCCATGTGCGGCACTTGAATCAGGCCAGAGGACAGCAGCCTCATCCAGAGCTCATCAGCCTGGCTCTGGCCCGCTGACCAGACAGGCTTTCTCACTGTTCAGCCAGGCATGCATGGGCGGCAAATTGAGCAAGGTTGAATTTAGGAGGGAGAAGGGAAATGTGGGAGGAGGGTGGGAAACTGTTAAAGAGGGGAGCAGAGAGTGGGGGGATGATGGCGAGAGATGGATTTTGAGTTGGCAGGGAAGGGGGGGAGCTGTAACTACAGTTCAGGGAGGGGACGTGGCTGTTCTGCAGCATCAGAGGAGACGTTTTTTTGTGTAGATTCTGGTTAACTGTGCGCGTTGGGCTAACAGTTGTTTGAGTGGGTGGGCCGCTGGAGCCTCCGGTTCACAGCCCACCGTAGGACCGATCCGTCTGAAGCCACGGCCCGTTTACAGAACATAATTTGTACCTTAGCCTGAGGTCAGTGGGCGCATTTATCTCTGAGCTGTCTGTGTGGGCTTCGGCACAGTGTTCAATAATCAGTGCTTTGCTTTTGACTGACAAGATAAACGGCGTGTTTTTGAGGCATTTAGGCTTTGTTCTAAGTTATCTTTGTGTTGCAGTCAATGTCAAGCTGCTGCACGATGTAGGACAGAGTGTCTGCACGTCACACTAGATCTCAGGGCTGAGAGATAAGACGTTCACGTTGCATTTTCACAACTCCAGACTAACTTTTCCACCAGTAGCACGTGATTTTTTTTGTCAGATTTGCCCCCAAATT